TTATCCACACCTGGAAAACACCAAAATCAAACTCCATACTTTCCCGTACTGCATAGACACCCTGTAAACACATTTATCTATACAATTTCATTCCATTTTAAATAATTTATTTAGCAGACGGTTCTATGCTAAACGACGCATCATCCTAATCCGTCCGGTACTTAACATCTTAAAACAAGCTCTTCGAAGTATTATAATCTAGCCCCATGTACATATTTAAGCGACACTGTATGTTAGGCGAAATCAGAATTGAGCGTAAATAATTAAATATTATAATTGTTGCTAATTCGCTTTACATTTGAAAACTCAAAATAGTTTGTGACACAGTGACAGTTACTTACTGTAATGCACTGCGATATACTTAACGACTAATTATGTTGAGAACTATTAAATCCCAATATTTAAGTAAGTTAAACATGTATGTTTTACTATTGGTTTAATCTGTGGAGTATAATCTTACCTGGCAATAAGAATATCTTTTTATTTTTCCAGAATCTTATTCGTGTTTCTTGACAAAATGGCGACTCCAGTTTTAAATCGCTTTCACTTTCATTTACAGACAGGAAGTATCAAACGCGGAAGCTGTCAAAGCGGAAATGGACGTGGATTCAATGGGGCGCCGTAGGATTTTAGCCTCGCTCCGCGCAGCATCTGAATGACCCCCCCGCGGGAGATCCGGTCTGGATGCGGAGGCTGTCACCCCTTAATCTCCCACTGATTCTTCTTTCATCAGCAATATCTGCACACGTCCCCCGAAGAGTCAGTGACAAGTTGGTCACACCAGTATTATGTTTTATGTTTCCCCATGACTGTCTGCTGTTTCACAGGGAGTGTAGAACCGTGGACCAAACGGCGGCCAGCAGAAGAATGAGCCCATTGATTCCCAGGAGAATGATTTTAGCGCAGGGAGACTTTAGCACGGCTCTGCTAGAAAGGCTATTAGCTTCTTCTCCGGGTCCGTGATCCATGACTTGGGAGCCTGGGTCCGAGAGGAGAAAGGGGAACTTGGCTGGCAGCAGATGAGTGCCCCCCCCCTGCACCCCCCCAACCCCTCCCCACCAGCTCTCCACATTCACAACAAGGAGATCAAAATTGTCTCACTCCTCAGTCTGCNCCTATGCAAAAACAAGAAACAAATTTACTTATTTACGAAGATATTGACTAAGATGCTAATTTCTATTGAGGAAAAAGTCAGGACATCCTCACATTCATCACTATTTAAAATGCCTAGAATTAGATTCAGGTGGCTCCATATCAGGTGAAGATGATTAGAACATCGTTACAGAGCTTTTTGGGGGAGTCTGTCTTATTTAAACCACAGACATTTAGTTTGGTTTGCTTTTGATTGTCAAAAAGAGTGGTATCACCATGGTGAGATCCAAAGAGCTCTCTGAGGCCTTCAGAAAGAAGATTGTTGATGCATATGAGTCTGGGAAGGATATAAAAAGATCTCAAGAGTTTTTGGAATCAGCCGTTCCACTGTCCAGAAAATAATTTACACAATAATTCACATTTAAAACAACTGCCAGCATGGTCAGGGCAGGCTGTCCTAGCAAGTTCAGCCGGAGAGTCGACCGCAAGATGCTGAAAGACATCTCCAAAAATCCTAAAAGGTCATCACAGGTCATACAGGAAGCTCCTGCCACAGTCGATGTCAAGGTACATGCATCTACCATCAGAAAGAGACGCACAAGTTTGATTTACATGGGAGCTGTGCAAGGAGGAAACCCTTGCTGTCAAAAAACATCTGAGCAACACTGAAGTTTGCCAGAGACCCACCTAGACAAAGACTGGGACTTTAGGAACAATGTGCTTTGGACAGATGAATCTGAAATGGAATTATTTGGGCGCAGTAACAGAGGACATGTTTGGCATAAAACATTGGAATAAATGCTTTTGAGCAAAAGAACCTCATACCAGCTGTGAAGCTTGGGGGTGGAAATGTCATGATTTGGGGCTGCTTTGCTGCAGCAGGACCTGGCCAGCTCACCGTCATAGAATACAATAGGAATGGCAGACAAGAAGGATATGGAGAGTTGGGGAATGGTCAAGTCAAAGCCCGGATCTGAATCCTATTGAGATGCTGTGGGGTGATTTGAAACAGAAGCGCATGCATGACACCCTTCAAACATCACACAGCTTAAGGAATTCTGCACTGGAGAGTGGGGAAGCCTTTCTGCCAGTCGATGTCAGAGATTGATAGATGGTTATAGGAAACGTGTCATTGAGGTTATTTCAGCCAAAGGGGGAAACACTAGCTATTAGGGCACAGGGTGTCCTAACATCTTCCTTGGTAGGAATTAGCATCTTAGTTAACTTCCTTTGTTAAATAAGTGACTTTGTTTCTTGTTTTTGCATAGGTTATGCAAATACATCACCTTTATTTACAGATTTAAAAGAAGATTTAATATTGATATTTTGATATTTCTTAATAAAGAATAAAATATTTCCTAATTTTTTCACACAACTGTACTTCCACAACTGGAAAACACCAAAATCAAACTCCATACTTTTCCATACTCATAGACACTCTGTAAGTACATTTCTCTATATAATTTCATACCATGTTCAATAATTTGTCTTTAAGTAAAAATATCAAACAAATGAAAAGGGAAATAACCTTGTTAACCCGGGTTCTTCGTCACGCTAGCAGTTATTCCCTAACATCTTAAAACAAGCTTAATATAACTTCTAAGTATTATAATCTAGCCCCATGTACATGTTTAAGCGACACTGTATA